TAAACTAGAACGTGCGAACTCGAAATTTATGGGGGACAATTATCGAGTGTTTTAAGCTCTGCTGAGACGTACAAAAGATGTTTCCATCTATGATCTGAGAAAAAGGATACAACAAAGATGACGCATACAACGCTGATAAAACTAGTGTGAACTGTCGGGCCTTACCATGAAAATCAGTAGCTTCTCGTGGAGAGCAATCAGCGCCAGGTTACAAAGTGAGTAAAGAGAGGATATCTGCGATGGTGGGTAGTAATGCAAGTGCAGTCCGTTCTTTTCCGTTGATTATTGGAAAGAGTAAAAAAACCCCGATGCTTCAAAAATGTTAATTGCCTGCCTGTGTGCTCTTATAGATCGTAAATATTCTCCTAGATGACTGCTGACATATTCTTGTACTGGTGTGTGAATGAATTTGTACGACGCGAAATGGAAGGCAAAACGGGAAAGTGCTTCTAATTATTGACAGTACCCCGATACTCCTCGTGTTGAAATTCTGAACAGCACTGACGACGATTTCACGATACAGTTCTTTCCTCCCAACGTAACAGCATTATTCCAGCCATGGACCAAAGAATCATTGAGAAAATATGACAGATGTTCAGAGCTGCTGGCACAAGAGGATGAAAAAAGCTTTGTGGCTTTTGCGAAACCGCTGAAACCTCAAGGACTATGTTGACATGCTTGCAGGAGCCTGGGATAGCCTGAAGCAAAGAAATTTGGATAATGGACGGAGAAAACTGTGGCCTAAAGAAGAGCAAGGGCAAGAAAATCAACCTGAACGCGACGTCAGTCTTGGAAGAAGTTGGCTCATTACCAGGTTTTGAAAATTGTGAAAAAGACAAAGCGATCGAGTAGCTGGAGATCGAAAAAAACTGACTCGGTTACCAGATTGAGGAGATTTTAAACGCTGTGACCAATACCGAAGCTCCTGCAGATAGTGAAGACGTCGACAACAAAGAATGTGCCGGACCGACCCACGCTGACGTGTTGACTGCTTTGGAGACTGGTACGAGTTGGTTAGAAAAACAGTCGGATTATGCAACAACCCAACTTGCCTGTCTGCGATAAATTAGAGGCTTGGCTGTCAAAAAACGAATTGTTAATCTTGTTCAAAAAACAGTGAAGCACTTTTTCATAATTACAATGATTACTACTTTACGATTTGAAACACAGTGCTGTAGGCATATTTTGTAGGTTTTGACTAGTGTAGTTTTTGTTTCTTTCTAGTTTTTCAATAAAATAGTTATTGTAAGCTATGCTGATATTTTTACGTTTGTATATTTAATTTACTGAAGATACCAGGTTCGCTATGGGATATCATGCTGTCGCATAGCGGATGAGCAGGATTCGAGAGAATTTTCAATCCAAGCTTTTTTGGTGCCATTACCACAACTTGCTGTCTCTGTCACCTGTTCTTTCATGTCGATGGCACTGATTCGGAAAATTCGCTTGATACAGCAGTGCAGTAGGACGGCATCGTTTTCGTGAAACGTTGAGAAAAACAGTGGACCAAATTTTTGCACAACTTTGCGACTGCTTGAGTCTTACCGAAACCTGTGTAAAAATTACACAGTTCATGGATCTTTCCGATTATCCTTTTTACCTGTCCAAACCAGGACAGTTATTGCTGACGGTGAGGCAGAGGTACTTCGGTGTGGCAACGACTTGTGGCTGTGAGTCCACTATGAGTTGAGAACCGATCGATGGGATGCTGATCATGGCACTGTCTCTTCAATTGTAAGATTATAAGCATGCTGATCGTCTATGGACGAGACCAGGCATATGGGCGGTGTCGTCCGCGTCTTTATGCACGAGGATGGCTTTCGTATGAAAGGTAACCAGAACTGGTGATAATACTGAACCCTGAAGAACTCCGGTATTGTTGTTACGAACAGCTGACTTTTCTTTTCCACTGTTGTAAACTGTGTCCTGTGGGAGAAATATTCAGACAGTCATTGCAGAATGAAAGAACTAGGCCCAGGAGAGAACAGTTCCTTTAGTAGATCTGCTTTTGGAACGCAGCTGAATGCAGAGCTGTGGTCAAGCAGAAGGCAGCATGTGAAACAATCCGTTCGATCGAGGTTCCCTCCCAAAAGTTCCTCAAGGGAGGCAAAAGCGTCCAAATGCGCCATTTACTTTTGTAACCTAACTGCCAGAGACTTTCAACGACAGAATTGTATTCTGTACCAAGGGTAGTAGCAACGGTGCTACTGCTTTCAGTAGTGTGGCTGAGAGGGCGATGGGACGGAAGTCATTTGGCGCTGCCGGATGTTTGGTTGTAAGAATGGGAACTATGCTACAGAGTCTCCAGTATTCGGAAAGCTACCATCTTGTAG